CTACCCCCCCCCCCAGCAAATCAAAAGAAAACCCCATCAGATGTAAGAACAAGACAGCTGAACCTTTCAGCTCATAATCACTAAAAATTCTTCAGATTACGTGTGGAAGGAAACAGACTCAAAGCCACCCCCTAACTGATCAAAACCATAGAAATGAAAATAAGGGCTGGGTGTGGTGGCTCACACCAGTAATTCCAAGACTTTGGGAGGCAGAGGCCAGAGGGTTGCATGAGCCCAGGGGTTTGAGACCAACCTGGGCAACTTGACAAAACCTTCTCTTTACAAAAAACCAAAAAATTAGCTGAACGTGATGGCGCTAGCCTGTAGTCCAGCTACTTGGAAGGCTGAGGCAGAAGGATCACCTGAGTCCAGTAGCAGGAAGCTGCAGTGGCCGAGAGCCTGAGACTGCACTCCAGCCTGGGTGACGGTTTGAGATGCTGTCTCAAAAAAAAGAAGAAGAAAGAAATGATAAATCCAGCCCTCCTCCCATCAGAGGCAGAGAGGGCAGCAGTTACCTATGCTCCACTAACTTACTAGCATATCAGTAACTAGGTAGCTATATCAACTGTGTAGTCAGAAGCAAAAAGTTTTTCTTTGAAAAACTTGCCCATGGCATGTCTTTCTGCCATGAATCTTCCTTTTTCTTTCTCTTCTTCTTGGTAATAAACTGTGTTTTAAAACTTTGTTCAAGCCGGGCTCAGTGGCTCAGTCTGTAATCCCGCGCTTTGGGAGGCCGAGGTAAGTGGATTGCCTGAGTCCTCGGGTTCGAGACCCACCTGGGCAACTTGGCGAGACCTCATCTCTACAATAAATCAAAAATTAGCCAGGCATGGTTGCACGCACCTATAGTTCCGGCTACTCGGAAGGCTGAGGTGGAAGGATCGCCGGAGCCCAGCAGGTTGAGGCTGCAGTGGCCAGCAGCAGCCACTACACTCCAGTCTGGGTGACAAAGTGAGACTCCAACTCAAAAAAATAAAAATAAAAATAAAATAAAATAAAATAAAATAAAACTTTGTTCAGCCAGGCATGGTGACTCACACCTGTAATCCCAGTACTTTGGGAGCTGGAAGTGAGAGGATTACCTGAGTCTGTGGGTTCGAGACCAGCCTGGGCACATGGCAAGACCTCGTCTCTACAATAAATCAAAAAAATTATTCCAGCTATTTGGAAGGCTGAGGCGGAAGGATTGCCGGAGCCCAGCAGGTCAAGGCTGCGGTGGCCAGGAGCGTGCCACAGAACTCCAGTCTGGGTGACAGAGTGAGACTCCAACTCAAAAAAAAAAAAAATTAGCCAGGCATGGTGGCACACACCTGTAGTTCTAGCTACTTGGAAGGCTGAGGTGGAAGGATTGCCTGAGCCCAGTAGGTCAAGTCTGTGTTGACTGAGCAGCGTGCCACTGCACTTCAGCCTGGGCGACACAGTAAGACTTTCACTCAAAAAAAGAAAAAAAACTTTGCTGGCCACTCTGAAAAATTATTTCAAGGGTGAGTCAAATAGTCCATGGGTCTGTGCTGTACCCCACCCAGCATCAGTCCCACCACTTTGGGAGCCAAGACAGAAGGGTTGCCTGTGACCAGGAGTTAAGACCAGCCTAGGCAACATAGGGAGAACTTCTCTCTACTAAAAAATTAAAATATTAGCCAGGCATGGTGATGCGTGTTTACTGAGGAGGGAGGATATCCTGAGCCCAGGAGGTGGAGGCTGTGATGAGCCATGAGCATGCTGCCACTACACCCCAGCCTGAGGAACAGTGTGAGACCCTGACTCAAAAAGCATGTGTGTGTGTGTGTGTGTGTGTGTGTGTGTGTGTGTGTGTCTGTGTGTATGTGTGTAATTTCCCACCAGTACCATACTACCATCCTGGTCCTCCCACCATCTCACCATCATTATATATATATATATATATATATGTTTGTTTGTTTTTTTTAAGTTGGGCTTAGGCAATCCTTCTGCCTCAGCCTTCCAAGTAGCTGGAACTACAGATGCATACCACCACGCCCAGCTAGTTTTTTTGTGATTTATTGTAGAGACGAGGTCTCACCAAGTTGCCCAGGTGGGTCTCGAACCTCTGGGCTCACTCAGGCAATCCTCTCACTTCGGCCTCCCAAAGTGCTGGGATTACAGGCTGAGCCCCCATACCCAGCCCACCACACCATCATGATTAAGTGGAAGTGATTTTTCTTTTTTTTTTTTTTGACCCAGGCTTTCACTCTGTCACCCAGGCTGGAGTGCAATGACATGCTCACGCCACCACAGTCTCAACCTGCTGGGCTCAGGCGATCCTTCCACCTCAGCCTTCCAAGTAGCTGGAACTAAAGACGTATGCCACAACACCCAGCTAATTTTTTTTTAATTGTAAAGATGAGGTCTAGTCAAGATGTCCAGGCTGGTCTTGAACTCTGGGCTCAGGCAATCCTCTTACTTCCACCTCCCAAAGTGCTTGATTAAAGGCACGAGTCAGCTGGGCTCGGTGGCGCAGCCTGTAATCCCGTGCCTTTGGGAGGCTGAGGTGAGTGGATTGCCTGAGCCCGCGAGTTTGTGACCTGCCTGGGCAGCGAGACCTCACCTCTACAATAAATCAAAAAATCAGCCGGGCGTGGTAGCGCATGCCTGTAATTCCGGCTACTTGGAAGGCTGAGGCAGAAGGATCGCCAGAGCCCAGCAGGCAAGGCTGCGGTGACCGGGAGCGGCCACTGCACTCCAGTCTGGGCAACAGAGTGAGACTCCAACTCAAAAAAATAAAAAATAAAAAAATAAAGGCATGAGTCATTGTGCTTGGTGCAAGTGATTTTCATATCATTTTTTTCTTTAGCTTACTTTATTGTAAGAATACAGTATACAGCTGGGCACAGTGGCTCATGTCTCTAATCTCAGCACTTTGGGAGGCTGAGACGAGAGGATTACCTGAGCTCAGGGGTTTGAGACCAGCCTGAGCAACATAGTGAGACCTTGTCTCTACAATAAATAAAAAAAATCAGCCGGGCTCGGTGGCTCAGCCTGTAATCCCGCGCCTTTGGGAGGCTGA